GAGTGTTGAAAAGCTGGCGTGAGACCCAAAGGCTCTCAAATATGTGGTATCCTATGCTCACAAGGCCTCAAAATGACTGTCCTGGAGCTTCTGGAACTCATGATGAGCCACAGGTGTGTGCTGCTATGGACATCCTTCCAGAGGCCCCTCTGCAAAGCTGGTGCGTGTTGTACTAAAAGCAGTGTTTAAATCAAACTAAAGAGAAATTAAAATTAATGTCAAATGCCCTGCACCCACCCCCACCCTCCTAGTGTGAGATATGGACTACTGGGGCTCCCATTTCCCCTCTCAACTCAATTTAAATGCCAGTTAATTTTGAGTAATTATGTATTGTCAGAAACTGATCAGTACTAGTTTATTTTTGTTTATTGTTTCTAATTTTTTTGGGGGGGTTAAAAAGCAAGACATGCTTGTGATGACTGTGTAACAGGCTACTTCTAGGCTTAAAAATTGAAGCTGCTCCCTGGTGCCAACCTAGTAAGTAATCAGGGACTTCCGGTTTTTTGTTTTGTTTTGTTTTGTTTTGTTTTGTTTTGTTTGGTTGGTGTTGGTATTATGGATTTTTAAAAAAAATCTATTAGCCAGTAGATTGTTTTTTTGGGGGAAGGTGGTGGTTTGGAGGGGAAGGAATAAGTTGGATTCTGCTTCCCAAATCTGGTCCAGGTAACAGTAATCCCCTCCTGACTCTCTTTAGGAAGGAGTATAGGGAATGCTCTTCCGCAGTAACTTATGCTCCTTTTTGTTCCCCACTGTATTGAGTATCCAGTGTTAAATGGAACCATCCCAAGTGGGGTGAAGAAAGTGTTTCCCCTTTTCCCTTATTCCTCCTTCTTTGTAGGTTGGACTGTATTCTTAACTACAACATTGAGATTTGCCAGTTGTTGCTTTTTAGGTTAAGGTTCAAACTTTATTCATCAATAAGTGAAAAAAAAAAATACCTGTACCTTTGGAACCACACCATATGGGTTTAGATTAGAATTTCAGAAAGAAAATCTTATTTTGTTTTGCTGCCACTCCTGATCTAATCTACTCAGCAAAAATGTGCAGTTTATTATGGTTCATGAAACATAGCTGATGAACCTCGCGTGTTGGTTAACAGTAGGTTAATAGTAAGGTGCTGACAGATGAAGGCCTACTCAATGATTCCAGTCCTCTTTCAAGAGAGCTTGGGATGGACAGCCAACTTTATTAAGAAGCTTGGTGAGAGGAAGAGATGATATGATAGGGACCAGTCAGGGGTCTATCTGTGTTTTGCATATGAGAAACGCCAGAGGCAGAGGCAGAGGCAGAGGCAGAGGCAGAGGGTAGGGCTCTAATACAAGAGCAATGGGAAGAAGTTTTACTGAAGACTCCAGTGTTAACAGGAATTTTTTTTGGTAAGACAATCAGGGTTAAGTGATTTGCCCGGGTTCACACAGCTAATCAGTGTCAAGTGTTTGATGCTGGATTTGAACTCGAGTCTTCCCGACTCCAGGGCCAATGCTTTTTCTACTACGGTACCTAGAGCCTCTAATAGGCATTTTATCTGAAAACTATCGCTTTGAAATTTCCAAGTCTTAAAATATCTAGTTCCCAATTTTTAAGATATCTTGTTCATCTTCCCCAAATCCTACTTCTTATAGATTCATTAGTGTTGAACCAATGCTCTTCTCATATCTCTCAATTCTTTATTTATGAATTCTTTTTGGCTGCATTAAACAACAACAAAAAAAATCCCCTTAAAAATCCACCTGGGGGTTATTATTTTCTCCCTATCCACTGCCTCTCACTTCTCAGCTTATTTAAATACATGGTAATTTAACTCTCTCAAGCATCAATTTTTAGCATTGAATAAAAGAGGCAAAACTGAAAAAAAATAGTAATCTAGAGCATTTTTTCACGTGACTATGATGGATACATTTGATTTCTTCTGAAAACTGCCTGTTCATATCCTTTGTCCATTTATCAATTGAAGAACGATTCAGTTCTTCATATATATAAGAAATTAGGCCTTTATCAGAGAAACTTGCTGTAAAAAATTTCCTTAGTTTCCTGTTTTTCCTCCTAATCTTGGCTGCATTGGTTTTGCCTGTATAAAACCTTTTTAAGTTGATGTAATCAAAATGATCAATTTTATATCTCATAATGCTCTCCATCTCTTGTTTGGTCATAAATTCTTCTTTTATCCATATATCTAACAGGTAAAATATTCCATGCTACCCTAATTTTCTTATATCACCCTTTATGTCTAAATCATGCTCCCATCATGACCTTATCTTGATATACAGTGTAAGATGTTGGTCCATACATAGTTTCTGTGAAACTGCTTTCCAGTTTTCCCAGTATTTTTTTGTTAGTGAATTCTTGTCTCAAAAGCTTAGATCTATGGGTTTTTCAAACATTAGATTACCGTTTTCATTTACTACTGTATATTGTACATCTAATCTATTCCACTGATAGACCATCCTATTTGTTAGCCAAGATTGTTTTGATGATGACTGCTTTTTAAATACAGTTTGAAATCTGATACTGCTAGGTCACCTTCTTTCACCTTTTTTTTTTTGTTATTGATTCCCTTGATATTCTTGACCTTTTATTCTTTAAAATGATTTTTTCCCCCTAGCTCTATAAAATAATTTCTGGTTGATTGGAATGGCACTGAAGGAGTAAATTAGGTAGAATTATCATTTTTATTATATTGGCTCAGCCTACCCATAACCAAGTAATATTCTTACAATTCTTGAGATCCAACTTTATATGTGTGAAAAATGTTCTTTAATTATGTTTGTTCCTGGGTTTACCTTGGCAGATAGACTCCCAAATATTTTATATTGTCTTCAGTTATTCTAAATGACTTTTGTCTTTCTCTCTCTTCCTTCTGGACTTTGTTGATAATATATAGAAATCCTGATGATTTATGTGGATTTATGTCATGTCCTGCAAATATGCTAAAGTTGCTAATTATTTCAACTAGTTTTTTTTAAAAGTTGGTTCTCTAGGATTTTCTAAGTACAGCAACATATAATCTGCAAAGAGTGATAGTTTGTTTTCTCATTTCTTATTCTAATTCTTTCCATTTCTTTTTCTTCTCTTATTGTGATAGTTAGAATTTCTAGAACAATATTGAATAATAGTGATTATAACGGACATCCTTGTTTCACCCCGATCTTACTGGGAAGGCTTCTAGCTTATCTCTTTACAGATAATGCTGATTGCTTTAGATAAATACTACTTATCATTTTAAAGAAAACTCCATTGATTCCTATGATTTCTAGTGTTTTTAGTAGGAATGAGTGTTTTATTTTGTCCAAAGTTTTTTCTGCATATATCAGGATAACTATATGATTTTTGTTGGTTTTGTTATTAACATGATCAATTATGCTGATGGTTTTCCTAATATTGAACTAACCCTGCATTCTTGGTATAAGTCTCATCTGGTCATGGTATGTGATTCTCATGTTTCTGTAATCTCCCTGCTCATATTTTATTTAAAATTTTTGTTTCAATATTCATCAGGGAAATTGGTCTATAGTTTTCTTTCTCTATTTTAGCTCTTCCTGATTTAGGTATCATCACCATATCCCGTATACTCTGAAAGAGAATTTATTTTGCTTCACTGATTTCTTTTTCTGTTTCATTACATTTTCAAACCATTATCATATTTTTTAGCATCTTGGTTCATGCCACTTTGCTTCCTATGGCACTCCTACTTCTGATACTTGTCGTTTCTGACTACAAGTGCTAATATATATGTATATATTTACTGGAGCTATAAATGTATATATGGGAAGATTCTGTCACCTTCTACTTGTACCACTTGGCCACTCCATAGATTCTTACATAATATTGGCTTGTGTATAATATCATTGATTTATAAAATATGACCTACATACAGAGTAGTTTTAAACTTGAAAGTATAGTTAGGAAATGACTCATGCTAGTGCCCTCAAATAGAGAGCAAATTCTCTAATGGCCAACTAAGATTTGAGCTCCCAGTCCTGTGTTAAGAAAGGTTCCTTTCTACTGGGCAGCTTCCATTGAGCTCTCATGTCACGAAAAAAGGGACACCAAACAACTCAAGAGCAGACAAATGTATTCATTCAGGGAGCTAAAACAAAACACATAATTGAGCAGAACTAGGCCTAGGCAGGGTAGGGGCCAATTGTCCCTCTTGCTGGCTTGTTTCTTTCAGCACTCCCGCTCCTGAAGTGAAAAAGCCACATTTAAATAGATCTTTGCTTGTCTATTTAGAAGTCACCTCTCACAGTCTCAAGGGAACTACAGATGTGGCAGATTCCTACACCTGTTATGTTTATAGTGTTGCTGTGGGACACAACACTCACTCCCCCTTTCCCTTCTCCTGATTCTCCTGGAGAGTCCCAGACTCTTATGTAGCCCTTACACAAACGTCTTGTTTCTCATAGTAAAGCCTGATTTTGTGTTTGTTTCTTTTGTTCCTAAACTGGGAAGAACTACAAGTCCAAGTTGATTTTTTTTTCATGGCCTATCAACTACTTGCTAGGTTTGTTACACTTACAAAAATGTCATAAGAGCACTCCCTTTCTAAGCTTAGAGTAAAGGCTTATACATTCTTGGCCCTTTGCATTGGGACAATGATAACTCCTCACATAATTTGAAAGCTGTCAAAATGAATTCCTTCATAGATTTAGCCCAGTGCACTGCTCCTACTACACTTCCTGTAGAAATATGAAAATAATGATTACTGTATTCTGATGTCTTCACATTCTTTATAAAGTAAAATTATTACAGATTGTTTTATGTGTTAGATTTTTAGAAGAATAATAAGAAGGAAGAAAAGCCATGCCAATAAGTCTTTGCATTAAATTAAAACTTGAGTAGTTCTATTTGGTAGTTGTCTGTTTTTATGACTTCAGAAATAATTATGGAATAATATAAATCTAGAATTGGAATGTTCTTTAGCAATCATCTAATACAGATACCCTAATTATTTGCTTTCATTAACATAGAACCTAAATGACATGAAATTTCTTTTTACATAGCTCTTATGGAAATGCTGATATAAAGAAGATTATGTATCATGAGGACCTTGTAGGCTTTCCGAGCTCAGCAATTGCAACTTTATCAGATCCTTTTGCACTTGTATCGCATTTGTCAAGTCCTAGTTTACTGAGTTCCATTACCATTTACGATTATAAAGACTCTTTATTTTTAATTGCTCTTCATCCTGGTAAGTTTATACTTAAGTAGTAAGTGATGACTACAAAATTTTCTTATGGGAAAGATGTAACTGCTTCTAGAGAAAAATCTTCAAATGTGCTCTGGGACCCACTGGTTGCTTGTTCACTGGAGTTTATTAGATGCATTATAGACTGTTCTTTTTTACTATTACTAATTTCAATATGATAAATCTATAATTTTTATGGCAGGAATTAACCAGTTATGTTGATATTTTAGTGAATCAGTGTTTTCATGAGTATAGGTTTTCTTGCCACTGGTAGAAATCATAACCAATCCTTGCCTTCTCAACCTATTTTTATTTGTTATTATTCATATACTTCCATAAATCCTCTATAGAGGTTCTACCCAATGTGCTAAGGGGTTTCTTCTAGGTCAGGTTTTTTTTAAAACCTGAACGAGACTGGCATGGCCATCTCTGGTAGCCTTTGGACCTCTTCTTAGAATAATGTTTTTAAATGTATAAGATAAAATGCAGATGGTTTCAAAGGGAACTAATTAATTGAAATATAGTTGTCAACTATTTTATTAAAAGTTCATAAATTCAAGATTAAGAACCATTTTTTTCTTTTTATCATGAATTTGACTAGTGCACAAAACAAACACTTTATAAGTGAACATTATAAATGTGGGTCCACAGGGTTAATTAACCCTAGAGCCCAGTGTAGTACTCCCTCAACATGTCACTTGAACTCATGGGCTGCCTCCGTAGATTGTAGATGGTACTCTGGATTTTAGAGATAATACTGTGCATGGATTTGTATTTCTAACACTATAGCCTTATAAGCCGTCTACCCATCTTTACCTCTCATATACTTTCTATTAACAGGAGACTCATTCAGCTCTTAGCAAAGGCATTTACTTCTATGGAATAGTAAGATCAGCATTTAAACAACATTCCTCCCATGAATCTGAGAACTAAAACATCAAGGGGGAGGATGGGTTCAGAATAAAATACACTGGGAATGAATCACACTTATAGGGTATAGGTGTAGCAAAGACAACTTATAGCTCTTGGTACTAAGAAGGCTAGAAATCCCTTCTCTCTTTGGAAAGTCCTCACCATGAGTTCTGAGGGTCTTCTTGATAGTTTGACTCTTAATTGCTAGGGGTTGATCTCCTTGGAGGCTGTTTCATCCTGCTAGTGCTGGTATCTCTGTGTCCCTGTCTGTCTTGAGCAGACCTGTACAACATATGGCCCATGGGCCACTTCTGGCCTTCCAAAGGATTTTAGGCTGCCCACAAAAAATATAGAGGATGTAAAAGAAAGTAAAGATGCAGTGAGTGTTTTGTCCATGCCCCACTTAACTCACCTTCCGCTAGTTACTATTATGACCATCATGTAACTTGAGGGGTGGGTTGCCACTGTGGACTCTCTCCTGTTTGTCATGTGACCTGTGGCAGTCTACCATCATCAGTCTGTCTCTAGTCTGAGATGAGTGATTTCATGATAAATAAAAGCTTTTAAGTAATAAGTGTAATTAATTGATATTAATTGAAATTTCCCTTTTTAAAAAATATGGTTTATTTGCAAAATAGTTTAATCATTAATTATACCTTTATTTGGAAAGTGAGCTGCTAAAAATCTATTTGAGTTCCAAAAAAGTTTAGCCTATTTTAATTTTGGCTCCTACTCACTGCCAAGTTGTGCAGGTCTCATCTAGAGGGTATTTCTCTACTGCTCATTGAATTCAATGTATTCTAGGGGCCCACCAACTCCCCTTCTAAATAATATGAGTAATGTTGGGAAAAAGGAAAGAGAGAAAAATCTCTCATGTCCTCCACACAGCCAGGTATCCCCATTAAACTTTTCATGGCTTAATTATTAAAGTCCCTAGAAGTGTGGCTGATTTTGTTTTTGCAGCAAATCATCCACATTTCTTGATTCAATCACTGAGGTGTATGAAACTGATAGAGGGATAAGGGCACAGACATAAGGAAGCCCCATCATGCACAACTACATTTTGGGACTACATCACATCAGAAGGGTGCAAGGAATAATGTTTCTCTTTCTTTTCAATTTCAGTATACAAAAAAATAGAAAAAAGATCGTATATTAAACCCTGAACTTCAATGTTGAGCAATATTTTAAACTGTCTATTATGATCATACCAACACATCTCTCCTTGTTCGTCTTCTTCTGAACTTTCTTCTGCCTGCATATTTTCTTAGTGTTTTATTGATGCTCTTTTCTTTTTCTCTGTTTTTTCCCCCATCACTTTCACTACCTACTCATCCAACCACCATTTCTCCCACAAAAAATAAAACCCTCACTCACCACAAATAAGTATACCATTGGCCACTGTTGGTCCCTGTAGTGGTGTCTGGTGAGTGCCGAGGCAATGTGGGGTTTTTCTGCATTTTCTCAGGGCTACGCTGAAGCACTTGGACATCTGGCCACTGGAGGACACCTGTCCACCACAGGCTGCACTGAAGTGGGCTACACATGGTGGTTCTCAGATCTGGAGTCTGCCCGTTCCTTTGGCTATGCTAAGGCATGGGAGAGGTTGGGGAGGAGAGGTTGGCGTTTGGTGCTTTACCACACTGGGGCTCAGGATCTCCCACTGGTTTGCTGAGGTGGGGCTTGCTGCTGGCTTGATGGGATGCTTCCTGTACTGTAAATTGCTCCCCTTTTGTCTGAGTGAGATGGACCTTTCTTGACAATCCTCCAAGTGTCCCAGGCTAAAAGACTGTTCCACATAGTCTTTCCATTGACTCCAATGTTCTAGGATTTATTTTGGGATGCTATTTTATGGTCGTTTGGAGGTGAATATGAAAGAGCTACAATAATTTACCACTTACTCTGCCATCTTGGCTCTCTGAAGTCTCTCTTGATCTCTTTGGGATACAGACCTAGCAGTGATATTGCTGAGTCAAAGGGTATACATAGTTTTATTGGTTTTGTTTGTGCAAATTTTTTCTGCATTTGTTTGTCAGGTGGGGATCTGTTTTCTCATATCTCTTCTTTGGGACTAAATTTAGTCATTATCATTTTGCTATATTGAGTTTCCATTGCTTCGTGGTTGCTGTTCTTTTCATTTATGTTGCTATAATCATTGTGTTAACTGCTTTCCTGATTATATATACTCATTTTGAAATAGTTAATGCATCTTTCTTATGCTGCTCTGTATACATCACATCCATATTTTCCTACAGAATAGTATGCAGTATTAGATGTTACATTCACGTAATACAATTTATTTAGTCATTATCAAATTCATGTGTTTCCAACTACTACAAAACATGTTCCTATAATCATTTTATAAATTCTTCCTGTGTTTGTCTGTATACAGCAAATTCATTGTTTCTTTGAGAGTGGTATTATTCCATTACATTTATGTGCCACAACTTATCTATTCTTTTCCCTATTGATGGGAAAGAGCTGCTGTAAATGCGATGTATATAAAACTGTCATCTTTGTCATTGACCTTTTTGTAATCTTTGTTTACTAGTGCAGTCTCTATATCAAATTTTATAGGCATTCTAGCCATTGTCTTCTCATAATAACTCATTGCTTTCTCGAATAGTTGAATCAATTTATAGCTATACCAACAACTCAGTGTGATGACTCTCATCTTTTTTTTTTAATGCAATGTTAGAGCTCTAATAAAGACAGCACTCTGAAGAGCATTCTAAACTCTGAACATACCTTCTATTACAACAACGTGCTTTTAAAAGCCAAAGAATTTTTTTCAACAATCTCATTAAGAATTTAAAGGGAAATGGTCAGGACTTTAAGATTCACTTGGGAAAATAAAATTTTAAGCCAAATGTTCCAATTTCAATTTAGGAAAGTGAAACTATGGATTAGGATTAAGTTGTGGCTTGTCATCTTGTTAGTAAGGAACATTAAGTCAGTAACTTGGTGTAAGTTTATTATTGTTTTGATTGGCCTTTCTTTTAATTGTTATTAGTTAGCAATTTTCTTTAGAGCTATTTGTTCATCTACTTTGACCACTTATACATTGTAGAGATATCCATTTTGGCTGCCTCATATAATGGGAATAGGACCACTCTCAAAGCCAGGAAGATCTAGGTAGAAGTCTCTTTTCTGACATATACTGGCTGTGGGCTCCAGAAAAGTCATGTAACCTCTCTCTTCTCTAGGAAACTAATTAAAGCTATATATTGCAAAAAAAATGTCAACTTGTGTTAGTAGAAGGGATTTTCTTATGCAATAGTCCCTATGCCAATGAAATCGTAGGAGAGGGGAAAGTTTTCTATTTTCTAAAATAAAAGTTTTCTACTAAAAACTCATTCTTTGCTTATATCATAGGCTTTCCTCCCAGTTGATGGAAGAAAAAAAATCTTGCAGAAAACCTAAAAAAAATTCTAATAGCATATAGTTGCTCTGTATAGCAATTAGTCAATAAACATTATTAAGCACCTATTCTGTGCCAGCCATTGTGCTTAGCAATGGAGATGCAATAGGTAAAAGACAGTTCCTGCCCTCAAAGAACAGATAAAACAAAATATGATAACTTTTCTTTCCTTGGAGGGAGATGAGGAAATTGTTGCAGCTTCTTTTTTTTCTTTTTTTTGTACTTAATAGTATTTTTTTTCCAATTTATATGTAAAGATCAATTTCAACATTCATTTTTATAAGATTTTGAGCTCCAATTTTTTTTCTCCCTCCCCTCTCCAAGATGGCAAACCATCTGACATAGGCTATGCATGTGCAATCATATTAAACATTAGTTTATAAATATTAAACATTTTCACATTAGTTATGTTGTGAAAGAAGAATCAGAACAAAAAGGAAAAGCCATGACAAAGAAAAAATAGAAAACAAAAGAAGTGAAAATAGTATGCTTCAATCTGTATTCAGATTCCATAGTTCTTTTTCTGGATGTGGATGACATTTTCCATCATGAATCTTTTGGAATTGCCTTAGACCCTTGCGTTGCTAAGAAGAGCTAAGTATCACAGTTGATCATCACACAATGTTGGTGTTACTGTGTACAATGTTCTCCTCGTTCTGCTCACTTCACT